GCAGAGCAACTGTCCCCCAGCACCACCTTCTGGACACGGTCAGCTAGGAAGGAGCGGAACCACCGTAAAACAGTGCCCCCAACTCCTAACCCAGCCAGCCTATCCAGAAGGACCCCATGGTCGATGGTGTCGAAAGCCACTGAGAGGTCCAGGAGTATCAACATGGTCACACTCCCGGCAAAGGGTGACCATGGCAGTCTCCATACCAAAGCCCAACCTGAAACCTGATTGAAATGGATCCAGAAAATCCGTTTCATCCAGCAGCACCTGGAATTACCTGGCCACAACACGCTCCACCACTTTGCCCAAATAAGGGAGGTTCGCCACTGGTCAGTAGTTACCCACCAGCCCTGGGTCCATGTTAGGCTTTTTAAGGAGTGGATGAATTACCACCTCTTTCAAGGCAGTAGGGACCACTCCCTCTCTCAAAGAGGCGTTCACGGCCTCCTGGACCCAGGTGCGAATCCCGCTGGCAGATCTTCCAATTAGCTGAGATGGGCAAGGGTCAAGCAGAGTGGTGGTAGGATGGACAGATCCAAGCACCCTGTCCATATCGTCAGGTCTCAACAATTGAAACTCATCCATTAATACTTGACCTAAGCACGGCATACTGGACATATCCTCTGATTCTGCAGAAATGGTGGAGTCCAATGCACTGTGAATCTGAGCGATTTCCCCCTCAAATTGAATGGCAAACTCATCACAGTGAGCTGACGAGCAGTCCAGGACCTCCATCAGATTTCCCAGTTGAAGAAGATCCTGGTTTACCTGAAACAGCTCCACTGGACAACATTCTGAGGAATCCGATTGGAGAAATATTGCCGTTTCGCCAGTCGTATTGCCACGAAATAAGCCCAATAATGGGCTCTGTGTCCGATAGGACTCCCAGCGGGATTTCTTCCACTTGCACTCTACGAAATAAGCCCAATAATGGGCTCTAAGTTGTGTCCGATAGGACTCTCAGTGGGATTTCTTCCACTTGCACTCCAGCTGTCTCCCCTCTCACTTCATTGCCCGCAGTTCAGAAGTATACCAGGAGCTGTCTGGGCTCTATCTGGGCTGTCTGGGCACCACTAAATTGTTCTCAAGGTGAAGAGAGTTGATGAAGCTTGGTCAGAACCAAAAAGCTTTTTGTTTTTCAGGGTACCTGATCACCAAGATATAGCGTTTGGAGCCTTGCAACAAGGAACCAATTGCCTTGACACTTTAGGCCACTTTGCTGATGGCGTTGTTGGTGTTTATGAATGTCATAATGCCGGGGGAAACCAGGTTAGTATAGCACACAGTAGTTTATAATTTGCATTGAAAAACCAACTGGATTCCTAAGTTTTTATAGCATCCCAAGGAACGTAGTTTTATTATTCCAGCCCTCTGACCTCTTTGGAATTGCATTGTAGCTTGTGTTTCTCAGCCTTCTCTGGCTTCTGAGATTTGTCAAAAGAAGACCTTATGAAATACCATTTGTTTTATGGATCCAATGATTGCTGCTAATTTTATCAAAGTTTAGTACGAGTGCTCTTTGTTATTTCACTTTTGGCCACATGAAGCATTTTTCAAATTCTGATCACTGTCTTCCTAAATGGAAGATGGAAGCCTTTGCTGCACCAGCGAACCTCCCATCTACAGCAAGGCAAAAGTTGGGTACAACTTAAGAGATGCAACTGATTTTAACAGATAATCTTTTGAAATATTGTTTACTTGTATTCAGTTTTTACTGAATAATACTGATACTGTGGTAATCTGTAGCTTTTGCTTGCACCCAAATTTCATTTAGACTGTTTTTTGCATAGCAAAATTAAGGTTCTGTTCAAGAAGTGAGCCTGGAATGTCAGTCGTCTTTTGAAATGCAACATTGATTTTTAGTCATTTCTAATGTGACTTATATTTATTGCGTCTTTATTAATATTTTTTGTTCTCTAAACATAATGCATCTGTAGTTTTTCTTCTCACTGAAGAATGCAGCCTTGGGAAATGCTTTATTACCTGGGTTATTTAATAGCCAATTTTACTCTCTAATTTCCATTTTTTGTTTGACTCAAAGGTTTTTTGAAGGGAGAAACAATCTCAGAAACACGTCTTTTTAATTCTTTATTTTATTTTAATTTGTTGTAAACGTCTCTCTGTCCGTCTCTCTCGCTCTCTCTTTAAAAAAAGATGTGACAGTATCCATATAGTTTTTATTCACTTGGCTGAGAACCAGATCACAATGAAAGTCAAATGAATCTACTCCTTATCTTACACTTGACGTAATTCTAGGAAATGGGGAGGATTCCTTTCAATGTATTGGGAATGGGGTGGGGAAATTAAGCAGCAGTGACTCAGGAACTCAGTGTGCTACAGGTTTTGCAAGAAAGATGTATGTAAAATATCAGAGGTAGATCAAAAGTAGTGTCCTTGCCTGGCACAAATAAAATATTTTTTAAAAAATCAGGATGAATAGTTTATTTTAATTGTTTTTTATTGTGTAACACAAATTATACAGAAAAGAGAGAAGAATAGGATTCAAAAGGATCTGTAGGCATATGGTGAGGATGTGTAGTTGATAAAAGCTGGTTTTAGCTTGTTAGATCTTGTTGCGCATATTGCCAGCAGAGGGTAGTATAGGACTGTTTTAAACCTATGCAGCAGTTCTAAAAAAGAAAAAAGAATGACAAAGATTCACACAGAATTGTTGAGAAAAAAATACTTAGATGTTTCCCACAAAAGAGTGAGAAATGCCAGGAACATATATCTCAAATCAGACATCTGTTTCTATAGCATTTCTATCCTTGTGGCTTTCCCTGTATAACAGAAACCTGATATCAGTTTGGTAACTTAAAATAAATGAATGTTCATAACCACTGTATGCATAATTATAACTGTATGCTATTTCTGTATTTCAGGAATGGGCCTTAACAAAGGACAAGTCAGTGAAACATATGGATTTGTGCCTTACTGTTGTAGACCGAGCTCCTGGCTCACTCATAAAACTTCAGGGCTGTAGAGAAAATGATGGTAGACAGGTCAGTATCCAGATGCAGCTGTGCACAAGTAGTTCTGAGGTCATACGAATATAATGTATGGCCTGGCAGAAACTTATATTGTTCCATGGTGGATTTTGACCGATGCAAGCTCTGTTCTGCCATCTCTTTACAGTATGATTTGACTGTCAAATTTTAGGCAGTAGGAAATGTTCATGTTTCTGTAATCAAGAGATAGGCAACTTGGGTGAGCTCTGCAGCCTAATTTTTGTTCCCAACACCCACAGGAGACCCTACATGGCCAAAAGGTGGTGGTGTTGGGGAACTACTCTTGGGCACCTCCAAGAAAGAAAGAAAAAATCAGAATGTTTATCAAGATTTCTGGACCTTTTTTTGCATAGGGTAAACCTGAGGGGGCCATCACAAAAATGTTCTTGCAGTTTGCAACCTGATTACTCTTTTGTAACAGAATATCATTAGCAACGAGATTGGCTGTAGATAAGTTTACAGGAACAGCAAAACTGATGGCTCGCATTTCTTACAGTAATCCGCCTCATGTGAAAAAAAAATCCTTACATTTCCTCCATTGATATGCCACTGCAGGTTTTGCTGAAGCTGGTAGTTCTCAACCTTTCATATTTTAGATCTCTCCAGTCACACTTTTAAAAACCCAAGTCTTATCATGAGAGAAGGAAAAGGTCACACACACCCCCAATGCAGACATTTGTGCATTTGTAGACTTTCTATAATTATTTTATCATGTACTGTGAATTGGAGGACAGGGGAAAGAGGATTAGGAAAACTCTTCCTGAATCTCTGTAGTTGCTACATTATGTAGAAAGATGATACATGGATGATCTGTGGCAGATGAGAATATAGAACATTGTAAGTGAGAACATGGGGCATTGAGGGGAATGAATTTGTAGTCGTTGTTATGAAAACCCCGTATCCCAACTAGAATACTTATTTAGTCCAACAGTATAAAAGCTACGGGAGTTTTGAATATCGAATTGATAACTTCCCTCAAATGATCACGGCTAATTTTCCTTTCTAAATGTTGAACTTTACTTAATTCTCTGTCACATTGGTCTGAAAAAGGTAATGAAACAGCCTGTGTATATCACGTAGGGCTGTGTAGTCACCATGTCGCCAAAGTTCTTCTTTCAGCGGCAGCATGCACAGGAGACATTAATAGCAATTGAATAGTTATAATACAAAACCTTTATTATTTTCTCCTCTAGATATGTACCATTGTTAATAAAAGAATAATTGGTCTTCTCTAAGACATTTTGGTTTAGTATAGCCATCTTTGGTAGATTTTATCTTGTGAAATCTTTGAGAGAAAAGGAACCTTACATTTTCTATTGAAGAACCAGTGCTGCACCTGCATAACCTCAGGTCAATGTAGATTTGAAGGGGATACATTTTCCTTACAATTTCATCTCTCACAGCAAAATTTCCTCCGAAATACTCCGCCTTAACAGTCAGACTTCCAAATCAACTATGTTTTGACCTTCTGGTTACCAATCAAAAAAACGCAGATGCTAAATTCAGGATAAGTGAATAAGGAAAATCACATGCTGTGACAAATAGATATCTTTTGCCATTTGAGGAAGCACGTGTTCCAGAGTCACACTAATTATATCATTTGGGTTGACCCTCAGTCTGTTTGCAAATTAGCCACCCATATTCATAGTCCCATCTACACAATGTATTCCAGACCATGTACAGGTCAGTTCATTCATTTTACACAGTAGCTCTCTCAGACATTTACATTGTGCCTACATTATCAATTTTTTTTTATTTTAAAGTCCTCTTTTGCCAAAAATGTCCCCCCACAACCCCATAATGCATGAGGCACCTTAAACATAAACTAACAGCAGCAATGTTTATTATTTTATTTGACTAGTTTCAAGTTTTGTTTGATCCCAAAATATATTTTTCTGTTGAGGTAGATTGGCTAGCTGTGTGTAGAGGATGTTATCCATTTGAACCAATCTTCCTCCCTGTCTTCTTGCATAATTAAGTCAAAAGAGCTGACCTTTGAGATCACTTGTATTATTTCAGTGGGTTGTATTATGGATCCCAGATTGTCCTAAGGGATCTGCAGGTAGACTAGCCAATTCTGATAAATTGTTTTGAATTTTCCCATGGCAGAGTTGAGAAACTCTGTCTGTAGATTTGAAACATAAGGCTTATATTGGTGCAGAAGGAAGAACAGCTTGTGCTTAATATGGCATGCAAGCTATGCCACTTAGCATGGACACCACATTTTCAGCCATCTTTCCAAAATCTTGAGAGCCTGACGATTTGTTTTCTTCAAAATGAAACTGGAACTTCCAGTAGTCCATATTCTGTGTTATGTTAAAAAAAATCATATAGAATATAGTAGCCTTAAAAAAAGTGACACATACTTAAATGACACTAAGTGACCTTCATTTTACCTCTTTTTTGTGTTTCTCTTTTGTAGAAATGGGAACAAATTGAAAGCAATGCCAAGCTGAGGCACGTGGGCAGTAACCTGTGTTTAGACAGCCGAAATGCCAAAAACGGTGGTCTGACTGTTGAAGTCTGCAGCCCATCGCTATCGCAACAATGGAAGTTCACACTTAATCTACAGCAGTAGAAGGGCTCCCACAGAAGTACTGTCTCATTTCCTAAACCTTGGGCAACATTTGGATTGCATTACTGATAACTTTATATACCTCAATATTCCATCTTTGTCCAAAAGCAAATGTTGACAACTAAAAGTGAACAAAAGGGAAGCAAGTGAACTGGGGACCCTGCCATTGTCCGATCAAATATCGTTCCAGCACGGCTCATTCCCTTCCACCATAAAGGTTCACCAATTCCTTTCCAGCTTCACACTAGTCCTTATGCAGCAGATGATTAAAACCCCTAGAAGCAACAGA